AAGATATCATGGTCATTCCATTTTCAATCATTACTAAGATGGCATTTGTGTATGTATTTTCTTAGCTCTAATGAAATTACTTTAAAATTTTTGTTTTTTGAATTTTATTTTGTTAGTTTATCATTTGAATGAGATTTTATGTTGAAATAATCCACCAACTTAACTTGCAAGTAATTTGCGTCAACAAGGCTTACAGTTTTTTACCTTTTTCTTTAAAATATTTATTCAAGCATCCTCTTATCCAACCCTTAAATCAACTAAAACATTCTTTTGCAGATTACTGTTAAATTATGCCAACTTACCTGATGAAATTTTGATGAGTGACTATCTAATTTTTGAATAATTTTGATCGTGAGAACGGAATTTGCGTGCAGTAGGCGCGTCTTTACCAATGCTGATGCCTCTTTTTTTGACGGCAGTGACGTGGACATTAAAAGAACGTGCCACACTAATTCGCCTATGCAGCAGATTACGCAGTGTCTGATCAGGAATAAACACCTCGCACGTCCATCCTGCCCCATTTTCATTGGCAGCCTAGTTGACACTTCTGATAATGGAGAGGTTGGAAACGTAGAACTCTATGACGTATGTGTAAGGGCTGACATATTCATGCCTTTTGTCGGAAATGGGAGATAAGGAAAGAAGGGGCTTCATATCATTGTGATCTGAGATCCGTGTTAGACGTCTGACACGATACGGTGAACACGTTAGGTAGTTAGATACCATTTTAAACGTCTACCGAAATTGTCCTAGTTATAACTGGCGATGATGGTGGCAGCGAAAATGTTAGCAGTGTAAGCTTTGGAAAAGGTTGCGTAAAGCTAATTTGTCAAGTGGAGTAAATTCTGTGACTGCAAAGGTGCCTTATTTTTCTCTAGAGTGCATTTTTATTTACGCAGTTGGTATCCACCTGACCCTTTTCAAGCTAAAATAATTTACACCCCCTTTACAGTCGCACATGCTTCTTTTCGACTACAGAGCGTATGGGCTGGAAATGACCAAAGTATTTAGATAAAATGTGTAAGTTTCTGAGAATGTCACTATAAATTTGCTAAAAATTTTCTGCAGGTGGGAGGAGATATACGTGAAGTCCACTTATACACCAGAATGTTCAAGAAATTCCTTACTAACGTGGACAGCATCATACGACTTTACACTTGCTAGCGTTGTACAAAAGTATGTTTTACAGCAAGTAGGGGAAATATGAGATCCTGATTTGACTTGATAGACCCTTAGTTCTGTTAAACCAGCATGGATTGCCATACGGGCAGTCAAAGATATTCTGCAAAAGAAATGCATCAGAGTTCCTCAATTTCGTCATTGGAAAAGTAAATGAAAGTTTTACATTCAATAGCGGAATTTAAGCTACATGCATGTTGACTCCATCAATGAGGAAAAAGTGTTACAAGTAGTTTACAAGTTCCGGGTGTGGCTATCGTCCATGCACTGACTCATAAGCTTTCCACCGCTATTTCATTCATCAAAGATGTACGTGAATAATTACAGCTTCTCCACTATTCCAACCTTGCAGTGTCTGCACTATTACACATTCGGCACGTGGGCTGACAAGTCAAGGGTGCATTTATGAACACTGTGGAGCCACTGACTGGTGTATGCCACTTTTGCCAACATTTGCACTACTCACAATTCACATCTTTCTCTTCCTCATTCGCCAGCTCTGACACCTCCAGTTTGCCCTTATGCTGATTTTCGTTGCCTGTGAGATAGACGACACCTTGATATGCAGCTTCTTCATCGCAATAAATAAGCATTCACACCACTGCCACTATTCTTCAACCAAGTTTGCCAAATCACCCCTTGGGACATCGATGCCAACAGATGTACTTCATAATATGAATTGCATTCAGTTCAATGCATGGGAGAGAAGAAGTGCCGCAAGTTCCATCGGCACTTGCGGAAACAACGCACTACTCTCTTCTTCTTCTTCCCTACTCTCCCAGCCTCAAATGAAAGCGACTGTCCCGAATGAATTGCTTGTCGTTCTGCCGCATTTGCTGTAGGAACACTCTGTCCTAGCGTCCATCTCTCCATCTACTTATTCATCCACCCATTCACCTACCCATCTACACATCCTCATCCGTTTATTTATTCGTCTTTTCTCCTATCCTTTCACTTCGCACTCCACATAGATTAGCAACGAAGATAATACTACCCTTGCTGAATTCCGTTGCAACTGAGGGTGACCATGACAAGAGTTGAGGCCATGGGAGCATATGGATTTTTGCGGGCGAAGAGGTCAATAAATAAGGTGACTGTGAATAGCACTGAATGTATGCAATGGTCTTACCTTCCCTGTTTAGTTGTTTTGGGTCAATTCACAAACCTACCGTGCTAGTATTTTCCTATTTCTGATAGTAACATTACAGTGAACTTCTCTACACTACTGATAGATTGAGGGAAGGGAAGGAGAGTATACATTTGGGTAAATTATTATTAACTAGGTGTAAATAGATGGATGGCTAGAAGCCGGGAGAATAACAGAATGGGTGTACGAATATACGCATGGAAGCTAGACGGATAAATACGGGTTTTAAAGCTGTACAGCGCTAAATCATTCATAAATTTTGATGCACTGGTTTATTCATCCTCTCCACCCTCAACATCCAGCAATTTTATATTATGTCAAACACTTTTTATCGGGTCTCAAATTCTCATGAAGCAGTGGGGTCTCATTGACGGTACCAGCATCGTGGCAGTTGCTTCGTTTGACAAGCCCCATATTTTACATCACTAGACTTGCCAAAAGGGGGGGTTAAGCTTGATTTGTACAATGGCTTAACATAAACGCATTGCTTGCTAACATCCAGCATGTGTTTCCTAATGACTCAAGCAAGCATTGCAAATCACATCATCCAACTTGTCAAAGCACTTTCTCCACATCCACAGCACAGGGTGAGTCGTGTGCAGTACCACCTCCTTACGCTCAAGCGCAATTTTGGCATGAGGAATTTGGGACTTACACCTCCGACGAAGGTCAACCTCCCCCAATCGTGGTCACTCTTGAATCCTTCACTATCCATCCCTCCAGACACTTGTCCTTTGCTGTCTCCTGCTCCCCTACACCAACCTATAATAGATGGCAAAGTCGCAATGCAACAGGTAACATCCTGGAGATGAAAGTCCCTCCATAAGAAGATCTTTCATCCAGAGCTAACAAATTACTGCTTTTTTTGCTACAAGTCTCGTTCACCTCTAACCCTCACACAACAATCATTTCGTACTATTATTCGGTGTCATTCCACATCTTAAACAGAAGGTACCTAGGTATGAGAGACAACTGTGCGGAAAACCGATGGTCCTGCATGGAGTTAAAGATGGTCTTTAATCAAAATGGTGAACCTATAGATGCCCAGTCTCTTGTGCAGAACTTGTCAACCGCAGTGCCAAATTCCGATTGTGACACCTTGACTGATTGGTTGGCTTGCTTGAAAGAAGTGACAATCTCCCATAGCTTGTGAATCGCCTACAAAAACGACACAAATATATCATCGCCATCTCCTTATCACGCAATCAACTGAAACGCACTTTGAAATGGCGATGTGCGCCTTCAGTGAATCTAAAACACACATGCTTTCCATTTCTAAACAAATTTGTCATTGACAGATCTGTCTACTCCCTCTTCCTCTCCTTTCCTCCCTCCATCCATCCCTCTTTCCCTTCCATCGCCGCGCGCAGAGGTGATTGTGTGTCTAAGGTCATACACTCAGAGCAATTTAACGTCTCTCCACGCATGGATGCACTGCCACCTAATTGCACGCACACCATGACTCCCCAATTGAACAACTCCAATGCCAACCCAGAGCCATTGCACCTAAGCAGATGGCCGAGGCAGGGCGAATGATGGTTCTACTTGAGCTCATGCCAGAATCACCATTGGAGCTTGCCTATTCACTAGCTTGGTAAGGACACCAGTGCTAGAATCGGAAACCACAAGGTGAAGTCTGCGTTGCAGCTTTGAAGTGAAAGTCCTCTCCCCTATGTTTTACTTACACCAGAGGGTCGGACGAGTCGTAGCATTAGTGAATTATTGCCACATTTAGGAGCAGTAAGCAACATCTAGTCCACTTTCACCAAATGTCGGCAAAGGAGAAGTTATGTATCCCTCCCTTGTTCGTAGGTCTCTCGAAAGTGCATTTGCATATTCGTCCTTATTATAACAGGTCAAAGTGAAGTGATGTCACGGAACTTACTGCAAAGTCACCACGAAGACGTAAACGATAGACCTTGGTGAAGAAGCCGTTAGCGAGAATCGCCTCAATAGCTCGATCTTAGGTGGAGGCGTTGTATTCACCCTTGAACTTGATCATCGCCGTAGCCACCTTGAATGCCATTCAGCAAGGAAAATAGATGATAGAACTGAAGGAGTTAAGTATTCGGTAAAGAACTGCAAACAGTTGTGTAAAAGAGGTAGAAGTGGTAGATAACATACAAATTATCCAGAAGGTGTTGTCGGAAATAAGGTAGTCAGATAAAAGTGGTTGCGCGCACAGTAGCTCTGTGAATGAGTTCGCGGTATCGTGTGAGTGGTGAGCAGCTAAATTCGATGCCATTCATAATGTTTGATGGCTGCATGTTGGTGGCATCGAAGATACCCAAATGGAATGGCTAGAAAAGCAGCCGCTTTCAATCCTGTACTCGCAATCAATGTAGAGTTTGAAGTGGGTGGATAATTTGATGAATGGAATAAAAAGGAATACATGCGCTGTGAATGATTAGGTAAAGAGATAGATAGATGAATGGAACAGTGAGTGTATTGGTGCAGAATGCATGAAATAGACTGCAACAAAAGGCTTAGAGATGATGTGGTGGATGATTTTTCCAATAATATCGAATCAGTGTGGCTGATTACAATCAAGACACAAAGCCCTTCAGATTTGGCAATATTTGGAAGATGAGTTAAAAGCTTTCTCACCGATGGTTTGGAAATGGAATGACCATGATATCAT